TCACCAGACCGAGGATTTGGAAGTAGTCACTTGGCACAGTTCTGAAGAACGTGGGATATAGTCTTTTGTCACTCAAACAAGCACAGGTTGAAAGATGGCTGACCTTGAAAGAAAAGAAAAAACACAAAATATAATAAATAAATATATATATATTTATTAAACAATGTAAATATAAATTAACAGCTAGACGATGAAAATTATAAAGTTTGCACTTATTTCTCAATCATTTCTTGTCACCTGTGGAACATATAGTGGACTCAGGATGATGTTTATGTCTTCACTAACTCCAGAAGATGAATGGCCTAAAAGAGCCTGGATCTGATCACTGCAGCCCTTTGAATCCTCTCCATTTACAGCTTCTACAGCTGCTCGTATGAGGTTTTCACTACCACAGCCATTGTACAGCCTATAGCCCAGACTCACTCCAGGGAGGAGCTTAGGATCTCTGTTGATCTCCTCTACAGTAAAAATCACTGTCCGGGCAAACTTCAATTCTCTGTCATTCAACCTGCATACACAGTGTTAAGTGTTGACACATTACTGACAAACAAGTTAGATTAGGACAGACATATATATATATATATATATATATATATATATATATATACATATACATACATACATTTACATATTCTAAGCACAGCCACTTACCTTTTGCAGTATGCAGATGGAAAGGCCTGGTAGCCATTATCTATCAGTCTGCGTGAACTACTTATAGAGAAAACTCCCCCTATAATAAGATCACCTTCTTTTGAAAATTCCACAAACCCTGTCTGCCCAATAATTTTGCATGTTTGGTTTTCTGAGTTAGTTCTTGCCAGCAGAGTAAATAAGAAAATAGTGATCCAACCCATCATGAGCCACCCTCCCTGACACTGTAGCAACTCTGACAAGGTTACCGAAATTTATAGCTTTTTACTATGAGGGAAACATCCCCAGCCAATAAGAGATCACTGCACTTTAAAGAAACTGATCATGCTTAATGGTCTAACTTACGTTTTAGTACTTTTAAGATAGTGAAGTATTAAAAACATTGTGGGGAGATTCTGTACTGTATAGTATTTTGCACAGTACAAATGTTTGGATATTATATAAAATGTTACATTACAATTACATTACAATATGTTTCATTACTTCAATGTACTGAATCAATTTATATTTTCTACCCATCTGAGACCTGGCCATAAAATCCTACAAAAGATAATATTTTTTTATAGTAAGTATTCATTATGAATAACAAAATACTTAACTCATATCTGAGGTAAAGTGATATATTTAGTTTAATTTCAATTTCACTCCTGAAAAAAAAAAATTGACTGGACATTTATATATAGCTCATTCAAAAGTGCTCAATATTTGCCTCTCGTTCACACATTCACACACACTCACAGACTAATCTGATGTGTAGCAGATGGCTACAATGCACTGCCCTAATCTGCGGGGGGGGAATGGAGTTCAGTTAGGGTCCAGTGTCTTCTTCAAGCACAATGGGGACAAGAGGAGCCAGGGACTGATCCACTAACTCTTCAACCAATGGATGACTTGAGTCACAGCAGCCCCTAGTTCATATTTAGTATGTGAATGTGTCAAACTGGTATCCGTTGTTTTACATCTCTTGCATTTGTTTTATTTAAATCACAAGACCTACCTACTCCTACCTGGAGGGCCCCTTTGCATGTAAACCATTTGCCATTGCCACACAGTCACAGCTGACACCCTTGTGCCCCCACTACAATCCTCCCTCCAGTTTCCTCCATCTATTAGTCTAATAATAAGTAGACATACAGATCAGCTGCATTCACTGGCTCCCACAGATTACCTGTTTAATAATTTTTTTAAATGTAAAATGCTATTTATACAATGGCTTGGCTGAATACTTGATGGTTCATATTTACTGAGAGATGTGCATCTGTATTGCCCTCTATGCCCAGCTAATCAAATTTTTAAATGCAATATTTACTCAATAGTCAGTAAATCCATTGCTTTCCATCTTGCATGTGTCCCATGTTTGTGTGTTGGTAGGTAGTTCTTATCATGCTGATGTATGTTCAAGTGTTTTTATTTTTATATGTTTTCACTTTTCTGTCAAGACTATGGACACAGCTGTTACTCTGATTTAATTATAATGAGATGGCTCGTTGCTAATTGAGCAATTGGGAAGACCAAAAATTTGCATCACAGAATTTATGTACGATTCTGGTGATTTCACTGTAGTTTTGTTTATATTTTATTTTTAATTTGCATGACTGGACCTTTTTATAGGTTAATAGTGGCTTCTTCTACTGTCTAGAGTGCATAAAAATACAAAAACATTTTAAAGTCATCATGTATATCTCATGCCCTTAAACAAGGAGAAGAGTAACAGGAGAAGGATGAAGAAACAACACACAGATCTTGCCTTCGATCATCTGATTGCAATTACATTTCACCAATCCATACAAAACCCATAAATTTGTTCACATATGCACACACTCACGCTCAGGACCCCAGTTAACAAGAATCTTTTTAACATGTTCTAAATGACTGAAATTATATTTTTAACTATACTAAAACGTGACATTTAAATAACATTTTAACTAAGTTGTCAAATTACATTAAAATGATGAAATGTATTCTTAAATTGTTAACTTATTTATTTTCACTGCCATGACATGAACTAGGCTCTTACAGTGACTTGAACCGTACAGCAAAAATACAGTTGAAACCTTTGCATATACCACAATGTGCAAATGCTTGTTATTTTCTTTTTTTCAATTTCTGATATAAAATGTAAATGGATGAATATAAAAAAATATCATATTTTATGCTCCAACTGAGTTAGCAAGAAACTTTAAACAATGTCTCTTTAATTCATTTGAAACTACAGTGACATAAAGACAAGTATTATCAACCTATGTTCATGAGTTTACATTTCTTCATGGACAATAATTACTCTAAACAAGGGGAATAGGGTTAGAGTTAGGGGTTAGCACTGGGGTTAACACTAGCTGTAGATAGTGGCTTTAACATTTTTACATTGAAGTAGCAGCTGCCATAGGTTCTCCTATGCAAAAGGGAGGGGTGCGGGGAGGGTATTTTGTTGGTGGCAATCTTCACTGCTAGTCCTTTAAAGGACCAGTGTGTAGGATTTAGTAGCATCTAGACTTGAGATTGCGGATTGCAAGCAACTGAACCCGGTAATACTTTATAATGAGTACACACTATTAAGCATTAGTTAAGCATGAATAAATACTGAATTCATCATTTATAACGCATGAATACACATTAGTATGTAGTTTATAAACACAGTTAAAAATGTTTTATTCATCATTGATAAGCACATTAGTTATGGATTAGTAAATACTGAATTCATCATTTATAAAGCATGTTTCTGCTGTAAATAGTCATTACTATGTGGTTTATAATCACAGTTATAAATGTTTTACTCTTCATTGTACTGTACATTTCTGCATGCACTTGCACATCCACTATTCAGACATGTATTAATGATTAGTGACTGTGTTAGCAGATGTTCTATAAAACTCACAACAAATTAATTTTCTAATGATGGCCTATAAACAGTGATTAATGCAGGAATTCACAGTTACAAAGCACTTACTACTCGTTAATTAAGTATTTTGCACGAGCTTATCTAAAGTGAGCACTATCTATGGTTTATTAAGGATTTACAAATGAGATATAAAGGCTGACAATGCCTCGAGACTCACAAAATGTTCAGTTATCTTAACAGACGAAGGAGAGACACAACACAAAGGGATATAGAACATATTGTATTGATATTTACTGCAACTTCCCAACATATTGTATGGAGACGAACAAGGGTGGTTTATGAAGACATGCTATTGTTGTGATCTTATCTGTTTGGGACGTGTACGTTGAGCTCCCGCTCTCAGCACGTCATCAACGTGATGACGTGCTGAGAGCGGGATGTTACGTCATATTTACGTTAACTCTCAGAAGTTTCTGACAGTGCAGCCAAGGGGAGCATGGAGAAGCACATTGGAGTCGTCGGCCGTCAGCGGCTCTAGTGGTGAGTATGTGTCTTTGTTTGGTAGCACACATTATGGTTGAAAGACAACGTTAGCTTGTCACTTGACACTGACGTTACTCACGTTACCAACGTTACCGACCCGCCCGCGGTGGCTAAGCCGACCTGCCGCTGCTAGGCACTCACCTCGCCCGGCTAGACGAGACTAGGCTAGGTCGGCTTAGCCACCGCGGGCGGGTCGGTAACGTTAGTAACGTTAGTAACGTTAGTCGGGGAGCGAGGGCAAACACCTGCAGCTGCTGACAAGCTAACGTTAGCTTTCAACCATAATGTGTGCTACCAAACAAAGACACATACTCTCCTCTAGAGCCGCTGACGGCCGACGACTCCAATGTGCTTCTCCATGCTCCCCTTGGCTGCACTGTCAGAAACTTCTGAGAGTTAACGTAAATATGACGTAACATCCCGCTCTCAGCACGTCATCACGTTGATGACGTGCTGAGAGCGGGAGCTCAACGTACACGTCCCAAACAGATAAGATCACAACAATAGCATGTCTTCATAAACCACCCTTGTTCGTCTTCATACAATATGTTGGGAAGTTGCAGTAAATATCAATACAATATGTTCTATATCCCTTTGTGTTGTGTCTCTCCTTCGTCTGTTAAGATAACTGAACATTTTGTGAGTCTTGAGGCATTGTCAGCCTTTATATCTCATTTGTAAATCCTTAATAAGCCATAGATAGTGCTCACTTTAGATAAGCTCGTGCAAAATACTTAATTAACGAGTAGTAAGTGCTTTGTAACTGTGAATTCCTGCATTAATCACTGTTTATAGGCCATCATTAGAAAATTAATTTGTTGTGAGTTTTTATAGAACATCTGCTAACACAGTCACTAATCATTAATACATGTCTGAATAGTGGATGTGCAAGTGCATGCAGAAATGTACAGTACAATGAAGAGTAAAACATTTATAACTGTGATTATAAACCACACAGTAATGACTATTTACAGCAGAAACATGCTTTATAAATGATGAATTCAGTATTTACTAATCCATAACTAATGTGCTTATCAATGATGAATAAAACATTTTTAACTGTGTTTATAAACTACATACTAATGTGTATTCATGTGTTATAAATGATGAATTCAGTATTTATTCATGCTTAACTAATGCTTAATAGTGTGTACTCATTATAAAGTGTTACCCTGAACCCTTTGACTAAATCAAGCAGGAAAGAGAGACTATGGTGCCTGCCAAACTCGTGTAAAATGCTAAAGGCTCGATTTAGAGCCAGTGTTTGGTTTGTCCATTCTGAGCTACCATAGAAACATGGTGTTTCAACATGGTGGACTTTATAGAGGAGGACCCACTCCCTCTGTAAATAAAAACAAAAACGATTCTTATTTTCAGATGATTATACACTAATGAAAACATACCCCCTAATATTATATTACATTTTTGCCAATAGACCCTAAATGTTACACACTGGACCTTTAAGTAATAACTGAAAATCACCACTTACTTACCTCAAGAGCCTGCTTAGCATACAGTATTTTGCAAATGTCACAGTCATTGGGCATGGTTTAATCAATAATAGCTTAATTATTATAGATTTGTCTTCTCTAGTTTGTACACTTCTAAACCCATTAACCTGGGATCAGTTCAAAATGAAAATTCACCGGTGTAGCAGTGTAGAGGATTAGCAGAAATCCTTTTCCCAACAAAATGAGCCTCAGAAACTCCTCAGCCTCAGAAAAGAACAGTTGCAATGCTGCAATACCACTTGCCTACAACTCGTCATTGCAAATATGAAATAAACCATAAATTGTGAGGACTATGTTTAAATAACTTTAAATATAATATTTCTAAAATATTTTAAGTTATGTGATGTTACTTGTTTTATTTTCCCATCAGGTGCTGTTTTGTATTCTTCTCTGGTTTCAGTAAAATAATGTAACACTTTGGAGCAAAGAGGCAGAACAACAAGCCAAAGCTGGACGCCAAAATGGCAAATGACTCCACTGCGTCTGCATAATTTCCAGGTGAGCTGATATAAGCAGGGATGAATGCTAGCCACACAGCAGAGAAGATCAGCATGCTAAAAGTGATGAACTTGGCCTCATTGAAGTTTCCTGGTAACTTACGGGCCAGAAAAGCCAGGACGAAGGACAGACAGGCCTGTAGACCAATATATCCTAGAACACACCAGAATGCGAGGCTGGAGCCAACGCTACACTCCAGTATGATCTTTGAGCGTTCATATTGTGTATTTCGGGATGGAAAAGGAGGAGCATCAATGAGCCAGGCAGCACAGATAACCACCTGAACCAGAGTGCAACTGAAAATAATGAACCTCTGCTGCTTGGGCCCCAGCCACTTCATGATGTTGTCCCCTGGCCTGGTGGCAGTAAAAGCAGCCAACACCACCAGAGTCTTCCCCAGAATGCACGAGATGCAAAGTGAAAATGTAATGCTAAAGGCAGTGTGGCGCAGCATGCAGGACCAAGGTGTTGGCTCTCCAATGAACATCAGGGAACACAGGAAACACAGAGTCAGTGCAAAAAGGATGAAGAAGCTGAGTTCAGAGTTATTCACACGAACAATGGCTGTGTTTCTATGATGGAAAAAGACTGCAAAGACAGCCATAGTGAGGCAGGCACCCACCACAGAGATCACTGTCAGGGCTATACCCAAGGAATCATAAGCCAAGAACTCCACCTCCTTGGGGATGCAGGCTGTTCTGTCTTTGTTTGACCAGAAGTCCTCCGGACAAAATGTGCACTCTATTGAGTCTAAAGGGAAAAGGGTTAAAAAAAGAGTAACTCATTTGAAATATTCAGTATTTAAATATTACATGATTGTAATAGAATATATTAGATATGAATTGTTGTGACTATTATGATTTGGTTTTAAGCTCACTTGTCTGATTGCTAATTTTGCCACTGTCACATGGTACACAGTCAAAGCAGCAAACAGGCTCCCCACGACGGACAGCCTTCCGGGACCCTGGAAGACAGCTGGCACTGCATACAGACACTGGCACCTAGGGAGCAGATAATGGCTTTCAGCTCTGTAGTGTGAAATGAGAGTGCTGAAATCACTAGTCACTTACTTAATTAGTCCATTGCTTAAAAGACCTTTTTAATCATTGCTTATTTATGTTCTGAATTATTAAGAACCACCAATATTTGCTGGTTCCAGCTCCTCAAATGTGAAGATGTTGTGCTGGTCTTTTCACATTACTGTGAATTGAATGTGTTTGCCAGAATCAGTTCCTCAGTCTCTCTCCAGCCACACTCTACATTGCTCTCTATTCTAATCTCCAGCCCCTGCTTTTCCCAGGCCATTCACTTTCCTACAACCCATTAGACTGACACACCCAACTACACACCTGTTCTTACTTCCCACATCTGCTGTGCAGTTAGCTGGTCTACTCCACCTAATCGTTCACTTGTTTCATTCTCATCAGCCCTGCACACACTTAACTGGACCATTCCCACTCACTTGCCAGATTGTTTGTGAGTTGCCATGTGCTTCTTTTTCTTGCTTTTAGCCTGTTTTGTGTTTATACACATTCCTAAGACCTGAGGGGTGTACTACGACTTGAGTTCAACATATTCACATGGGACCCATATAACTAGGGGATCACATAAGAAATAACTTCACTATTTGGTCAGAAAATGCAATCGGGAAGGGCTATAATTTGCACTGAGGAGTTACTGTCAATAAGCTCTTTAGGAATGTGTACTTCTATTCAGTATGTATAAATATAAATAATAAATGGAAACATCTGACTACTTCTCAGTTCAGTTTCAGGATTTAATCTGATTAAAGAAAAATAGACCGTGTTTTTTTATGTTTACAAATGCAATGTTTCATTTTAATGAAGCTCTTGACTCGCAACTGTTTACTGTACTAATATCAGATCCTTCTTGCCCTGCCCACCTGACTTACCTCCACCTCAACCTACAGAACTTCAACAGTTGGCATCTGATGAAGGTAAAAACACAGTGTGAGCAGCTTGCCTCACTCTGATGCCCTGCCCAAATGATCCTGTCTTCCTGGATCACCAGTTCCTCTCCAGCAGGCTTGGTTCCATCAAACAACCCCACGTTGACAAACTCAATGTTTCCGCCTGTGCCTCTCTGCCAGTTGATGATATCATAATAGGGTATGGAGTCGCCCTTCAGGTCAAAGTTCACCTCCTCCCCGGCAATGTTAAATGTCACTTCTTGGAGGTAGTATTGGAGCTTGAAAACCAGTAGATGATATGAAATACTCTTTTAAACAAGATTTTCAATGTAATACTGTATCAGTAAGAATGCTGGATTATACCTGCCAGGGGTGTATGTTGTTGCTTTGAGCACATGAGTTGTTTTGAAAAGGCCCACTGCCTGGTTGACAGAGAAGAAGGTTGTGGAGGGAATGAGCAATTGCATATACAGCCTTATAGACATTGTATGCCACTCTAGGGCTGGATGTATTCATGTAGGCCGAATGCTGCTCCAACAGGGACTCCTGCCCTGTGCAGAGAGGTAATTGGGTGCTAGAGGACAAAGAAGGCTTGCAACCATACAGAGCCTCCCACAGTTCCTTAACCAAAAGATTATTTGGATACATCTGAGGGTTTACTGTCTGGAGGTAGTCACTGAGTCTGGATATATGACCTTTCCTGATGCCAAACCCAATGGTGCCCCCCATGTAGGGGTAATACTCGCTCCCTGTAAAGACAGATGCTGTGACCCAGGCCTCACTGGCCACCCATTGGATTCCAGTGATGTTCTGTATCATGTAATCTCTCAAGAAAGGTGTCATCTCCCCCTCGGCTGAAAATACCACCACCACTTTTGCCAAAGAACTACGCATCACCTTTAGAAAGAGGCAGATAATGGAGGAAAGATTTTCACAAGGAATAGAGAGAGTATTAATAATGGCTTAATGCCATTTTAGACTGAAAATATACCGTATATACTAAATATGTAAAGGTCCAGTGTGCAACATTTAAGAGGATATATTGGCAGAAATGCTATGTAATAATTTTAGATATGTTTTTATGAGTGTATAATCACCTGAAAATTATAATTTACCCGTGTTCCTGTAATGTCGAATAAAGAGCATACTATTTCTCTATTTTTATTTTGGTCTGAATTGATACAAATTATGGCCTATTAAATTATATTACCCTAAAAGTGTGACCAGTTTTTGGTTTTTATGACAAAATAACTTAAAAATTCCACACAAAACTCTTTGATGACACTTATTTGTTGTCAGCACCTACAATAAAATGGTGTTAAGGTCAAATAAAAACTCTAATGCTATAAAACTCAATGTAACATGTCTTTGCATTTACCTCAATTATCTCCAGAGCCCTCTGGCGATTGTAGAGCAGAGGGATCATTTCTTGGTATGCTACACATACTTTGGTATCCTGTAATTCTCTTAGTAGACCTTGCACAGCAAAGCGCCCATATTCATGGTCCCCTCGCACCAGTCCCACCCATGTCCAGTTAAAGCGTACCAGCAGCTGAGCAATGGCTGTCACCTGGGTTCAACAAAAAATAATGCCAACTCACTTTGACTGAAAACAGACATTTAAAAAAAAAAAAAAGGTTAACTGACATTTAAATATTGTGTTGATGAAATTCTCTGCTATTGATTTTACATTGCACCGCAAGTGCATGTGAACTGGATACAGACAACACAGAAATGTATGATTTTAAAGGATGTCTTTTTATTGCTGAGAGCTGAAATTGTATTAAAGCCTTTTGATCCGAGGACAAACTCTAACCTGATAGTCATCATTAGGGATCACCCTGAAGAATGTAGGATATTTTCTTCTGTCAGAGAAACATGCACATGAAGAAAAGTAACTGATCTGTGTACAGAAGAAAAACAGATTATAAGGTAACAAGTTGATGTGTTTTAGGGGATTACAGAGGAAAAGTGTTATCATTACCATTGGGATTCTGAAAGGCTGCAGGATTCTTGACACTACAATTGACTGAGCAGAACCAGATTCCCCAATCACAGCGAGAAGCGGAGAGGCACCGCTGCACAGGGGAGTGTCATCCTCGTTCAGCCCGTTCAACACAGCCATAGCAGCCCTCTGTCCCGTCAGTGGATATGCGCATGAATCAAAGATTTTGTATCCAAGGGTGTAATTGGGCAATAGCTCTGTACTCTGGTTTATCTCCTCCACTGCCAGCCTCATAGTCTGAACCCAGCGGAAAGCCCTGGGATCAAAGCTGTAGTCCCACAGACACAGATGCACACACCACACACAGCAACACACATGAACACAGCAAGTATGTAGAAAAGGTCAAATTAAAGGCATAGATGATATTTTAATATGCAGTTGGTCTGAATTGCATATTTGCATCTATTTTTAATGCATTTTTTCCTAAAAAATAACCAGGATATATCTTTGGTAATCCCTTTCTTTACAGGTCTAAATAACTGCTAAATAATTTGATGTTATCTTGAAAAACCCAGAATTTGGAAAGTAGATATATTACCAACATTACCTAACTCTTACACATACAAGTATTCAATTCAGTTTATATATTTGTGTAACAAAAAGTATTTGAAAATTATTTGGGAATCTTGTAACATAAAGCATCTTGTTTTGACTTTCTCAAATCTAAATAGATAACTTAAACTCTAAGTGAAAGTCAGTTCAAGCCATCACTACATATACAATTGTGTTCCTACATGTACAAATACATCCTGCATAAGCCAATAATTTAAAGAAGAGTTTCACAACATGTTTGTTGTACAACATCTGACACCAGTTGCTTCAACTATGATTTCCAGTCCACATGTATTAAACTCACCCATTGCAGTTCACTGGCGGGGGTCTGTAGGTGCAGTTGAGGTCTGGCATCTCTTGGTTATAGTGAAGGGGGAAGATCCCCCCAATAACATAGTCACCCCTGGCCACAAAGGCTGGCTGAAAGCTGTTTTGAAGTGTGCACACTTTGGCTGGAGATGGGGTTGGAGAGGTAAAGCTGGTAACTGGGTTATAAGTTATAGTGAGGACAAAGACACAGTAAAGCAAGGGAAATAAGGTGAGTAGAGTCATATTGTTGGACACACCAAAGAGAAAGAAAGAGAGAGAGAGAGAGAGAGCAAGGACTTAGGCAGGTTATATACAGTATGTGACCTTCTTATTCTAGCATCTTATTAATGACAGACTGACACTGGATTGGACATCAGCAGCCCCACCTTATTTACTTAAGTTGTTGAATGTAGCTTGAATGAAAAAATAAGCGATGTAACAGGATAATGATACTGATATAGAAAGCCCTATGAAAAATATATTGACATATTTTTGTAACTGCCAGTTTATTAGGTACACCTAGTTAAAACTAATGCAGTCTAATGTGATATATTCTACCGTCATGGTTTGATTGATTGATTGATTGATTGATTGATTGATTGATTTAAATATTGGCTGGGCATCATATGTTGCACCTTCTCTTTCCGGTATGCCTCGAGCGTGATGAAAAGAGAACACTTTAATCTCATTCCTAGTGGTGGTTTTGTGTGCAACAATGTAACCCCTTGGGTGTGTTTGCTTATCACCGCAGTGGGCATGTCTCAGTATATTACATCCCACCCTTTATATTAGTAATGATAAATTAAATCAAATCTAAAACACACATTTACACATACACACACAGAATCACACACATACATAAATACATACAAATACTAACATATGGTTGAATAAAACAACATTTTGGTCTAACTGTAACAATTTAAGGAAGCTGGACATCATCAAAGACCCCTATCCGCCTCGCAGACAGTACTGCTATTTCCGGTCCCGCCCCACCAGGCTCAGTGGCAGCTTCATCCCGCAGGCCATAAGAATGTTGAACTCTCCAGCATGAAGTTTACTAGCAGCGCACTGATGGCTGATGAGTAATTGACGTTACTTTACCTATATACCTACTACTTTTACTTACTGTATATACATATATACATATATACTGTATATTTATTATGTATGTATATTATTATTATTATTATTATGTCTTGGATTCTCATTTCAAATTCAAATTCTTTAATTTCTCCTACGGGGGATTAATAAAGGTATATCTTATCTTATCTTATTTTTACAATGTTTTAATAATTTGAGCTGACAATGACCTATAATAATCTATAATATCTATAATATAGATATTTTTCTTTTTCACTTAAAGTACTGTATATTCACACTCCCCCAAACACATAAGGTGTTACTTTTAATGATGTCACATCTATTGTATTTGGGCGGTCCCTTCAGCTTTATGTGTCTTAACTACAGTATATAAAAGGCTGTGTCCTAAACTACCATTATTCTTTGTATGTGGCCAGAAAGGACAACTACTGTCATATATTTAGCCGTTAAAATATTTAACATTACTGATCTGGGGCTTTACTAAAACCTGGGCCAGCAATGGCAATGCCGGCTGCAAAGCTTCTTGTGTTTCTGTCTCTCATTTGGGGCAAACCTGGTTCAACTGCTGCTCTGAATAACTGTGTTTTCTTAGGGGAAAAGGAGAAAAACAGTCTGTATGAAGATGGAGATGTAGTTATAGGTGGTTTATTCCCTCTACACTACAGCCCTGTGTCTTCTCTTCCAACATACAAAACTAAACCAACAGCTAATATGTATAAATAGTAAGCGACTGCTATAATACTGCAATAATGTTTGATTGTAGTACAATGTTTTCCTTTTATTGAATTTGTGTTCATGGTAATTTAATATGTATATATTTGTGGTGTATGATGAACTGCTTTTCACTTCTGCATAGTTTCAGCTCTCGTGCCTTGCGCTGGATGCAGACCATGACTTTTGCAATCGGAGAGATCAACCAGCGCAGTGACCTCCTGCCACAGCTCAAGCTGGGTTTCCACATTCGTGACAGCTGTAATGACATACCGGTATCTCTGAGAGCATCTTTGCTGTTGGTGAACGGCCAGCCAGAGAGAGACTCCAGAGGTCCAGAAAGTAAAAATTATTTAAATTTAAGTTGTGCTGCTGTACAAAGTACTGTCTCCCCAGTAATCATAGGAGATGCTGCCTCTGGGGTGTCTATGGCTCTGCTGAGAAGCTTGGGTTCTTTCCATATCCCCCTGGTGAGATTGGTTTATTGTCTGACCACTTTTGTTGTGATAATCTTAATATGTGTTTGGCACGTTAAATTAATAAAATAATGTATTTTACAATTTGTTCATATTATTGAAACAGAGTTACAAATTGTTTCTTGAAAAGGACACCCCCATTTCAGCTTTCTGATAATGCATTTTTCAGATTATCCAATTTTTTTATTTTAAGACTCAACCCCAATTTATCCTTTAATTCATTTGAAAAATGTACTGGTACATGGTTTTCACTGGATAGAGATTCAAGACTAAATATTAAATTGATGCTGTTGATTGGACTCAAGTATACAGGGATTTGTTTGAAAATGTACCAGGTTTATACTTATGGGGTAAAAATGACAAAATTATATTTTCAGAACTTTGAACATAAAATATTATAGTACACATAGAAAAATCAGTATTAAATCAACTTCCATTTTTACAATTTGGTTAGCTTTTTATGTCATGTACATGGAAAATTCTGCTCCATTGAATGTTTGTAAAGACGACAGTATTGTCTGGTGAAATTTGATGCTCGTTCACAGCCTTTTCAATGAACCAAATTGTGCAGAAGGTTAACTATTGTTTGCTATTATACCAGGTGAGCTATTTCGCATCCTGCAGCTGTCTGAGTAACCAAAGGGAGTTCCCCACATTCATGCGCACCATGCCCAGTGACGCCTTCCAGATAAAAGCCCTGGCCCACCTGGTTAGTTATTTTGGCTGGACCTGGGTGGGAGTCATTGGGGTGGAATCTGATTATGCTCGCTTTGCCATCCAGCTCTTCCTGGAGGAGTCAGTGAAGTATGGCGTGTGTGCTGCCTACACTCACTTCTACCCTGTAGTCCTGAGTAAGCAGGCTCTAGATGAGCTTCTGGATGTAATTCAGGTACCTAATGGTCAATATGACATTTTCCATACACACTGCAGGTAGACAAAAAAAAAAAAGAAAACATGAACACCTGCAATAAATACTACCTTTGTAGTACCAATACCACATTTTGATCCGATTGGTCTGCTTACCCATAAGTAACAAACAAGAAAAAGAAAATGTGACCTAAATTTCTTAATATGAAATGAATTAAATCTGAAAAATTATAGTTCAGTGATTGACATATTAGGAGCATTGAATGAGTAATAATTCAATACAACTCAACAGACAACAAAAATAAACCAATTTGCATTAACATTATGTAAATTAAACATGCAAATGGTTTAAACTGAAATATGGTTTTAGTCACTAAAAATATATTCTTATCTCAGAAACACTGTCCTTTGCTGCTTTAGCTTTGATTGATGTTCAGTTGCAGTTTTTGTATCAGAATACAATTAAAGATTATCATATCATCAATAAGACGTTTAAGTTCACAAAGTAGTACTATTGCAACACTATGTCCATAAAAATTACATTGTTAAATTAAAGTTAATTTAACACCTCTCTGACACAATTTCTTAACTTAATTTTAAGCATTTTAAACTGATACATTGACAATGCATTATCATTTAACACATATAGGTTATTTGCTTTTTTTATTTATTTTTGCACAATCATATATATGTGGCTTGCTCATATACAGTATAGTCATTTGTGCATTATCATAGGTACTTGAACGTGAATCATATTTCATATAGAGGAGGCCCAACAGCCCATCACTTTATTAAAGTTTTAAAACTGTTCAAAATTTCATCAAATATTAACTTTATCTACATTTCTGCTGTTTAGATGGCATCCTCAAAAGTCATCATTAATTTTTCTAGTGAGTCAGAGATGCAGGGCATTTTGAGAGAGGTCCGGCGTCGGAATATAATTGGTCTTCAGTGGATCGCCAGTGAGGCTTGGGCCACTGCCAAATCACTCTGGGAAAAGTTTGGAGATCTCCTGACAGGAACACTGGGATTTGCCATCCGAAGAGCTGATGTGATTCCAGGCCTGCAACAACACCTCACTAGTCTCAGACCAACCAATATTTATGAATCAGCTTTCTTGGCAGAATTTTGGGAAGAGACGTTTAACTGTCGATTGAATGGGTCAGTGAACAGCCACTCTCATGGAGATAACAACTACATCGACAGATTGCCATGTAAAGGGACGGAGGATTTAAGTGATGTTTACTCTCCTTATTCTGATGTGACACAGCTAAGAGTGTCTTATAATGTCTACAAGGCAGTATATCTGGTGGCCCATGCATTGCAAGATATGAATAACTGCATAGTTGGCCAGGGGCCTTTCCTTAAAGGCACCTGCGCAGACCCAAAGCATTTTAAACCTTGGCAGGTGAGACTAAAAGATTAAAATATTATTTGTAAGTAAAAACAACATTCACCGCAGTTAGTGTTTCGATAACTTGTTCTCCTTCTTCCCTTAGCTTGTTCACTACATGAAGCACACAAATTTTTCTGCACTGGGGGAGAAAGTCAACTTTGATCAAAACGGTGACCCCATTGCTTATTATGATCTCTTGAACTGGCAAAGGAGGCCTGACGGCTCACTACATTTGGAAAAAGTAGGTTTCTATGATGCCTCATCGCCTGCTGGACGCAGCCTGGTCATAAATGACTCAGTGATTCAGTGGCCTGTTGGGAAGCAGGTGTGTTCTCTTCAAACAGGCTTACGACCATGTTCACCTCTTAGACTGTTATATGTATTGTTGATCAACACATCAGCTAATTTGTTCTTATTAGTTTGCAATATACTTTATTGTTAAACAAGCGGAACAAAAGACCATCCTTTAAGTGTAACCTACTCAAACTGAAATCAATTACGTATGAATGTGGCAACCATAAACCCCATTAACACTTACAATTAAGTGCAGTTACCAAATTTGTATAATATCTGTGGTCATGATAGAGTTTTTACATTACATTACAAATTTTCTTTACAAATGTAATTAATGAATGTATTAATTCAATTCTTATTTAATTTGTAATACAGCTCCTAAGTTCATAAGAATCTCCAAAATATAGTTCAGATTACATCTTAAAAAGGCCATAATTATGTTT